GGAAAACATGTCTGTATCTCATGGAGCTAGCAGACCACCCGGGGGAGGACTTAAACTTTGAGATGTGCTTACTAAAATGAATGGCTAGCAAGTGGGGATGTTCTGGTGTCTGCTATGGGGAGATGAGAGGGAGTGTGTATCAAGTCTCAAGTCGGTGCACTTGAGGTAAAAGAATGGATAACAAGCTAGTTGTTTCTCCCCTGCCCCCTATTTTTTTTACAACCCCTTTTAAAATTAAATAGGGAAGATAAACTGCTGGAAGCTAAACTTGCTCACCTCAAGTGAAAAAGGAAAAGGCAATGTCTACATCCTAAATGGACTGAAGTCACTAACTGTGTTAAAGTAAAATTGTGTTTAGGTAACTATCCTCAAATAGTAGGATCTCTTTTTCCGACTGCAAAATTTGTTGGATTTGATCAAGAGAAACAATTGTACGGTGAAGCTGATCAGACACAGCTGTCACGTCTGTTAACAAAGCACTTTTTAAAAGTTAATGAAAAAGTTAATGAAAATATTTTTTCATTTTGCATACGTATTTGAAAAAGAAAGGAAGTTACTAGTTGGTATGGTGTAAGGGGTAAGACACACAACTATATATTTCAATTTTGGTTGTTATTATTACAAATTCACTAAATCTAAGAGATGCTGCTGGACATTGTCTACCTCCGCTCCATCCCTGTGTGCATGAATGTGTTGGCAGAGTCTCCTGTAAACAGGATGTGGAGCTGTCGGAGCCCTGTTTGACTGCAGTTGTCGGCGTTTTGGAAAGCATATGGACAAATTCTAGGTGCTTGTTATCGTGTGTGTACACATGCACAACCTTCCTCCTTTTCTTCTTCTGAGATGCTATTAATTTAATGTCTTTGAACTTGATCCCAAAGACTAAATACTCAGGATTAAATACAGCATGTAATACTGCCTTTTGTTTTTTGCCATTACTGCGTTACTTTTCCCGTGACGTTAATCTTGAATTGTTTGGAATAGCCTTCGAGCTGACTAGTTACTTTGCGTTTCTTAGTAGTGCTATACGAACAATGCATTAATGATGACCTACTATGCATGTTATTCCAGTTTTGAAAAAAAACAAGCACTGTTCTGATGCAGAGCTGAGACACACACTCTGGTATATAAACCCTCCTGAAGTGGGGACACACTTCAGTGGAGAGAATGTCTAAATGAGTGGTTGAGTGGTCTTTCCCCAAGTAAGTATTGTCTCTTACTTAGTTTCAAGTAACATGGCACACAGCTGCTCTTTACTCCTTGTTGTAAAATAACAAGCCATTTGCTGACTGAAGCAAGCTATTGGCATTATTGCTAGCAGCTGCTGAACTTGTAGTGTTAAATTAAACAGCTCATAAATGTTAATCACAGAATCACAGAATGGTAGGGATTGGAAGGGACCTCAGGAGATCATGTAGTTCCCTACAACAGGTTGCACAGGAAAGCAGCCACGTGGGTTTTGAACATCTCCAGAGAAAGAGACTCCACAACCTCTCTAGGCAGCCTGTCCCTGTGCTCTGTCACCCTCACAGTAAAGAAGTTTTTCCTTAAGTTTATGTGGAACTTCTGGTGTTCCAGTTTTTGCCCATTGCCCCTTGTCCTGTCACTGGGCACCACCAAAAAGAGCCCAGCCCCATCCATTTGGTCCCCACTATTTCAGGTATTTATAGACATTGATAAGATCCCCTCTCGGTCTTCTCTTCTCCAGGCTGAAGAGTCCCAGCTCTCTCAGCCTCTCCTCATACAGCAGATACTCCAGGCTCCTAATCATCTTTGTGGCCCCTCTGCTGGACTCTCTCTAGAAGATCCCTGTCTTTCTTGAACTGAGGAGCCCAGAACTGGACACAGTACTCCAGATGTGGCCTCACCAGGGCAGAGTAGAGGGAGAGGAGAACCTCCCTCAACCTGCTGGCCACGGTTTTTTTAATGCACCCCAGGATACTGTTGGCCTTCCTGGCCACAGGGCACACTGCTGGCTCATGGCCACCCTGCTGTCCACCAGCACACCCAGGTCCTTTTCCACAGAGCTCTGTGTTACAGTTTTGTTAGAGCTTGCCTGCATATCCCAGAGGCACTAGCTAATATGTCACACTTTTTTCACATGAACTGATGACACCTCTTAGTGGAGTTTCCAAATAGTAACTTCATAATTCAGTAGTTTTATTGTGGTGGCTGAAGTTTCTTCAAAACTGCACTTTTAACTACAGCTTCACTAGTATTAGTATAGCTTTATTTAGACCTGTTTCAGTAGGCTTAAAGCTGCTGAGCCTGCAGTAGGATGAGTACGCAGTTGAAGGGAATATGCTGTCTGTTTACTGACCTGTTGTTTGGAGATCTGCAACAAAGTCAAATCCAAATATAAACTGAAAAAAATCTGTTCAGTTTATCTCATGCTTAGTTTTAAAGTCACTTTCATGTTGTAATGATTTTGCTGCTATACAAGTGTAAAAAGTTTACATGAAATGTAAGGGTTGCTGTAGAAATGTGTTATCTGCATAATAAGCAATTAAATAATGTTCTGTGGCCTTTTAACAGTCCCTCCCACTCTTCAGCCAGTGTGAATGTGTTCTTAAAAACAAGGCAAAGCTCCCAAACAAACTAATCCTTTCCTTCCTTCAGGTTGGATTCTGCTAGTGTTCTCTGTAGAAAACACTGGTAAGGTCCCCCAGAACCTGGTTTTGAGCCTGTCAAAATGATTGTAAATAGAGCACTCATGAAAGCATAGATAATGAAGTAAAAGCTGCTGTGTTGTTGTAGGAGTTTATTTTAATGAATGTGAAGGTCTGAAAGAGGAAAGTTGTTGCTAGTGCATGCCATATAGAGAAATTATGCCTACCACATGTAAAATCTGTTCTCTCATCGTTACTTTTACATGAGCATTTAGTGGAACTTTTCTCTTTAGGGCAGTGGTATATGTTTACCAGAACTGCACTTCATGCCTCGAGGCTGTACTCCCTACCAAACTAGTCAAAACTGCAATTAGTGTAGGCTTCTGGTATCAGCCTGTGAACACAGGTTAACCAAACTACAGCGTGACCATTGCCTTTCTACTGTGTATTTGAATGGTACTTTGGTTGTGTTTAAGCTGTTCCTCTTCACTGTCTTCTCCTGGCTTCTTGCAGAGGAATTCCTGTCCCTGAAGAGATGTGCATGATGGGGACAAGTATTGCTAAATGGATCCTGCCCTGTAAGGTGGGAGGTCCCAACTTGAGCTGGAACCTCTTGGGCTTTATAAGATAGCCTTCATGCAAAAAAGTATGATTTAGAGTGTGGAAGATCATAAACAGGATTTATTGGTGGTTGTTAAAGTATCAAACCAAAGATATGTGAGGCTAACCCATACAGAAATCTGTGAGCAAGGGTTTGATTGCAAAACATTCAGTCACCTTATTTTCAAGGACAGGAATAAATGTCACTCTTCAAGTAGGTGGATGTGAGAATTTGTTTCTGGACTTGCTGCTAAAAGCCTGGAGAAAGATTGGATAGTTCACATCTAGTAGTTTTTGGTTAGAAATTGAACAGAAGACTCTCTGGGAAAGTAGAGGGGACTCCAGATTGTGTGTGTGTGTGAGGTTAAATTTTAATTGCATGACTGATGTTTTGGGAAAGACATAATTATAAAAGAATTTTATTTTTTTTAATTTTATTTTTTCTTAAAGAAAGCTTTTGAGCTCACTTATTTGTGAAAAAGTGGTGTCGTTTGTTACAGGTAGTATGAGCATCCAACTGTGTTCTGGTCCCATCGTTTTCAGTGCTTTTCAGTGGGTTTCTAGTCGGTTGGGGGTTTTGTGGTTTGTTTGTTTTTTCTTTCTTTCCTTCCTTCTTTCTTTTCTTTGTATTTTCTCTGAAAGTTCCACCTGAAAATTCTACTGTTGACCTTTTATTCTGTCCTATCTATGTGCCTGTCTCATGCAACAGATCAAGACAGCTTGCTGAAATTAGATACAACTTGAAATAACCACAGTGATACTTAAATGAAAAAAAAAACAACAAAAAACCCCAACCCACAAACTGACTGAGTATCGGTGACAACTGTATGTGCCTTGAGTCTGAAAGTAACTTTTTTGTGCTGAATTCTTAAACTGAGAGAATAAACGCATAGTCAAATGACTAAGTTTGAGAAATAAGTTAAGAAAATGGTGACCTGAATTTTGGTTCTCTTCAAAATTCCGATCCTGAAATACCTTATTGTGTCTGCATGCTAAGTTAATACAGGGTTTTTTCAACTACATGCATATATTTGCACTTTGGTGTGAATTGTATGCTGATGAAAAGCATAAATGACTCGATGAAAGTTGTCTGACACATGTAGGAAGACACGTACCTGATGAATCTTGACTAATGCTGTAGTCCTGAGGCTGATCTCGGAGATCAGTCTCTGGACCAAAAAAATTAGATGGACAAAGAAACAAATCCTCTTGAGTAAGAAGCTTTTCTGGGTTTTGTTTGATAATTCTGTAACTCCACTGAAAAGCCTGAATGGATGACCTAAATGTTGTTCCAAATCTCTGATTGTTCCAAGTCTCCGAGCAAAGGAATAAATTGATCTTGAACATCAAGTCCTGCATTCAAGGATTTGACTTTGAATTTGTAGAAGATTTCAAGAAAGCAATAGTTAAAGGACCTGGCTCAACTCAAAAGCAATGTATAGTGTACACTGTTAAGCATTTTTTTGCAACTGCACAGTTTGAAACCCAAATAGGCTAGCCAACTGTCAAAGAAGTTCTTGCCTGTCCAGATGGGGAGGTACATCAGCAGTACCATCCTTCATATTACTTGTGTGAAAGGCACTAAAGTTTATTAGGGAGTAGCTTGTGTGTTAGTAGATAACTGGTGTGGGGAGAAGGAAAGTGGTGAAGAACTGAAATATTAAAAGGTGCAAAAGAAAAACTCTCCAAAGTACTAATCTCTTTTCTTTTTTCTCTTGCAGACCTTCAAGTGCTGACCTTCTTGGTCTATTAAGTTATTATAAACTTTTGCTGCTCTGCGAACATATAAAGATGTCTCGCAGCCCTGATGCTAAGGAAGACCCTGTGGAATGCCCCCTTTGCATGGAGCCTCTGGAAATCGATGACATCAACTTCTTCCCTTGCACCTGTGGCTACCAAATATGTCGTTTCTGTTGGCATCGTATCCGCACTGATGAGAATGGACTTTGTCCTGCTTGCAGAAAGGTAAATATCCGAGAACAACGGCTTATCTTGCACATATCACGAGGCTCTTGCATTGTGTTGGTACCAAAGACATCCTTTTCCTTCAGGGAAACATTCATCTAGTGGTGGCCTAGATCAAGGGTGAGGTGTTGGATCTTTCAGATTCTATCTGCATATGTGTTGAAGCTGTTAAGCAACGGCTGGTCTTGGTTTGTTAAATTCAGAACTGGATTAATAGGGGAAGATGTGGATCAGAACCAAAGCATGCTGATGCTGGGAGATCTGCCAAATAAAAAAAAAAATAAAAAAATCCTTTGAGTTGGGGTGCTCGTGCATTGACAAAGTCTTTTCAGGAAGGACAGTGGGGATTCCAGCATCAGAGGTTTGCTGAGGGCTAAGGTTCAGCTAAACTAGCAGAGCTGTCCGAGGCAACTTATGAGGCACCTGCTTGTTTTGTTTTTTGTCACTGGAGCTTTTAATCTGTATTTTTCTGGATACTAAACGTGTAGAACCTTTGGAAAATATATCCAATGGTGTTAAACTTTAAAGCATTTAAAAATCTAAGCTAAGTCTGTCTGTCTAGTATTCTGATCTTGTTGCCAAATGCTTAAAGGTAGTACCTTGAGAGTCACACTTAATTTTTCCCTGTCTCTTAGTTGATGTCTGGCTGATACTTTGGCCACCACTATAAACTTCAGCTTCATTGAGTTGCCTGCTTTTTCCTTTGAATTATTTTTTCCTCCTTTTAGTGTTTTGCTTAACCTCTTATTTCCTTATCTTCAGTGTTTAATAAAATTCTTTCTCAATATCTTCTTCTCTTGAATGACATCCCTTGATTGTAACTTTCTTGCCTGGCTCTTCTCCTTTTGTAATTGCAGCTACTTAGGTCCCCTCTTTCTCCTGCTATTTAATCTTGATCCTATCCTCAGTTTATGCCTTTGGCGGCTTCCTGTCTCATATTACAGCTCTCTTTTCAGACCCTTAGTAATCTTACTTGGTCTCACTATCTATATTTACTGTCACAGCTTTCTATAAGCACTTCCAGTCGTATTTTCTTGCTACTCTTCTGGGCTTTGGCTATCACTGCTAACCTATGTTTGGATGCCTCTGCAAAACTGAAGGCTATCCCCCAACAGCATACATTTGTTAACAAATTGTGCAAATTTGCTGCGATATTTGAGCTGTGTGTCCTACAAGGAAGATCCACTGTCATCAGCCAAATCGGTCTCCACAAGCGATACCTGCTGTAGATGACACATGCTGTATAGTAATTTTCATAGTACAAGCAAACCTATGCTCTTCTGATACAACATGAAATTTCTGTAATTCCCTTGTCTGTGTCAGTCACTTCATTTACCTGGATTTATTACACTATTTTTTGCCAACACCTATTCAATTAATCTCTGCCTGTTCACTATTGGAAGTTTGTGGAATATATCTGAAAAATCACAAGCAACGTGCTATTCACTGCCTCTGGGTATCAGAGTTCTTTCAAATACTGATACTGCCACAGCTGAACTTTTTAATGTGGAATAATCTGGTTTATGATTGGATGTGCAAATATTTTGCTGAAATGGATACAGTTTGCTAAGAAAAACAGTTTCAAGAGAAAGCTAGAATGAGCGCTGCAATCAGAATGAAGCACACTGACCGTTCCAGCAGAGGAAGGAAAACTCTTCTTTCACAGTGGACGAGGATTATGTTCCTGATACTTTCTTCACCCATGGACTACAAGATGCTCGAGTAGAGTTGCAGCTATATCACTGGATTGTAGGAGTTTTGCATGGAGGAGGCTGAGGAGTACAAAGTATGTTGTGGCATAGACAAAGACATTGTGGCACAGAGACCCCATCAGGATCTTGGAAATAAATCATTTCAAGCTATACAGTTGATGGCAGCATCAGATAAGTCTGAAGAAGCCATCTTTTGGAGTGTACTGGACCTTCTGAACCAGGTATGTGTTTCTGTGTGCAGTATGTCTGAATCATGCCTATCTGTGTGTAGTAAGGTTTCTGAGGAAAAGTCTAGGCAGTTTTCTAATTCCTGTCCATTGTGGTGTGTATTGGTTGTGGCCACTTCAAATGGTGAAGTGCAGAAAATGGCAAAGCAACACAATTTTTGCAGAAAAGTTTATAGTAGGTCCTACAGTTTCAGCAGGTATGTCACACTTGTAATGTGTATACCAGTGCAGGATACCTACTGCAAAAAGGACAGGGAATAAACACACATTGAAGCAAGGCTGAGTATGTCATGCCCAATCACATAATAAAAAACTGCTATTTGTGCCAGTGATATTGAACTCAGTGTGAGCTCTCCGGTGGTTTGATCACTAGTCTGTGGAGAGGAGCAATGAAGTTCCCTATGCAGGGATTTTGGTTGAAAGATTTGGGGAAGATTCTGGAATAGGCCAGTGATAAAAGTGATACAATAGTTTGGCTGTACCCTGTAGTGACACCTATGTGGTTAGTTTGATAGACCTTAACCGTGCATTGCATATATACTGTTATACTCCTAAGCTGCTTTAATTAACTGAAAAGGTGTTAGCTTGCAGTCTTTTCCACCAAGGAGAAAATAATTCTACAGGCTTGAACTGTTAAAGAGCTTAATATTTACATGTGCAGAATATGTTTTCATGTGGTTGCAGTCAGTTGAATTAGTGTCTTAAGTTTCCTCCTGTTAGTAACAGTAGTAGACAAACATTTTGCTTTTCGGCTTGTGAAAGTAAGGTGCTAGTATGAATTTAACTTGAATGCTAGTTGGAAACTAGTATTTGTTAGTCTTGCCACATTCAAAGCTTTCTAAACTTTATCTGAATCTTCTGAAATAGACTTGGAAATTGTTTCTGTTTAGTTCATTAACTACAGAAAGTACTTCCTTAAAAAAATAGAACTGATCTGCTTTGAGTTCCTGATGCCCTTCAGAATTGTAGGTGTAGTCAATTGTAAGATGGTAAGCAAGCCTTCCTGTTTTTTCCAGTCAATTGATTTCTTAACTGTGATTGAAATAGCTGCTAACTAGTCAAATTAGAATGAAAATGAGGTGTCCTCAAAAGAGACTTCTGTAGCCAGAAGCTGGTGTACAGGTCACCAGACCTGCTGGTTCTGGTTGTAAAGCCAGTGATTTTTCTTTGCAATGTTTTTCTTTTTTTTTTTTTCTTTAAATTCAGTGGCCTAGGTACTGTTTGTTATATGAAGAATACGTACCATTTCAGTCGCTTGTGTTGCTTTAATAGAGCTTGGCACTCTCAAACCTTTGTGTTAATTGTTGTAATTTTTAAATCCAGCAATAAAAAAGCCTAGGTCCTTCATATTTCTTAATTGCTTTGCCATTCCACCAAATAATATAACTTGATACACAGCTGTTCCTGTGGTGTGGCTTTGCCTTGTTCTCCAGTTCCTTAACTTGGCAAGCTTTATTGCTCGTAGCACAGTGTCTTAGAGATGGAGAGCAATAGTAAACTCCTACATTTATGACCTAACTAACATGTTAGTTAGGTCAAGAAACTAACATCTTTTAAGCATGTTTTTGTCCATGTTTCTCCTACTCCTGCTTCTGTGTAAAAGGAACACCTGGTCTTAATGCACAGTCTCCAAATGTCAGTTGTTTGCTCTGGTGCTTTTAATCCTGCAACTGAGTAGTTTGGTGCAACAGTTGATATTTAGAAATGTAGAGGAAATTGATATTTTTAATTCTTGATGTAAGTAGTATGGTGTATACTATGCATAAACCTTACTGACTTTCTCTGTATTTCTCATTTCAGAACCTATTTGGTAGCAAGGCAACAACTGGGAAATATTGGTACATCCATTGCGTGGAAGGAATGTGACCCATCTGGGAATGACAAAAGCAAAGCACTTGATAAATCCCAGCTCAGCTTTCAACAATTGGGGAAAATGTGGGGGAAAAAAGTCTGAAAGAAAACAAAACTTAAATGACAAGATAAACTTAGTCAGGAAGAATGAGAATTCAAGGGCCATCTCTGATTAAAGAAATGAGACTACAGAAGAGGCATTTGAACTTTGAAGAAGTTCTTGTAGGACTACCAGCAACTTGCAGTTAGTGAAAACGAAAGCTAGTCATTTTCCATGTTGGCACATCTTGTTCAGGTGGCTTCCATGGTTTTTGTGGAAGAGGATTTGTGTAACTTAAGTGGAGGGTGTCAGCTAAACTTGGTGAATCAGTGACGTTGACATCTTTTAATATCTTGCATCTGACAATATGTAAATGCTAAATGCTGATAACATTTGATGTAGCTACTTTGCTTGGATCTCCAAATCCTCTACCAGCTAAGGAATCAGTGATAGTAGGTTAAACAAGTATCTTACGCTTCTTGTGTTTTTGTTTTCTTTTTTTTCTTTCTTAAGTGGAAAAAAAAAAGTTATGTTTGTAACATTTAGCATTGCCACTTTAGCTGTTGCAAGACCTGAGAGCTTCTGGTACCTGTGGTTCTCCCCCTACGCCTATTTTGTAGGATTAGGCAGAGAGTAAACTACAGATAAAATGGAACTGTATGATACACCAGCAGTCAATCCACCTTGCTTGGCTTTCAGAGCCATGATCCACCAGCCTTCCCTGCATGCATTCTGTCTATTAGCTGTACAGAGAAGGAACGTACTAACTTGTTTCTCATTTGAGAATATGCTCTGAATGTGGCTATATTTGGCAAGAAAGAAGCTGATGAACTTTGGCACTGTTTGCTGTAGTTTTCTTGGACCTTCAGGAACCTTACTGAACTTGCTGAAAACCATGAATTCATTTCTTGTGCAGTACCAGAGAGCAGCGCACTTGCAAGCCTTGCCTTGCATAGTATGGGATGTGATGAAGAATTAATCTGTGAAAGGGTGGATTGTGGGCATGATACAACATTGCTTGATATAGGGCGAGCCATTTTATTTTTGGAACTATATCTAACTTATGCTGGTGCACTTGTTTTCTTCCCATTCCTACCTGAGTTCAGCTTGACTCTGATAACTGAATTAACTCTCTCTTTGCCTAACAGTCTTTGTTTCCTAAAACAAAACAACATCTATTCTTTATTCTACATGATTGACTAACACAGACTTTGAGAAGCTCTTTAAATAAGTGAAATGCCTTGCAGAATTATTCTCCATTTCTGAAGTCGTCAAGTGTACATGTATTAAAACTCAAGATGATCATTGGCTATAGCTAATCTCAAACGACTTTACTAACAGGTCTTTGCTGTTCATCAAGTACACTGTGAAGTCTGTATTAGGTATTCAGTGTTGTGAATAACATAACTTTTTAAGAAACCTTACTGTTTTAACTGTTCTTCAAGGGTAATATGAGTCTATTGTTTTAAGGACTTGGTTGTTTACCTTTGTCTACTGCTAAACTATCTTACAAGTTTAAATTCCTTTGTGATACTAAAAACATGTTCCAGAGGGCTTGGTGTTTAACCATGGGATACCATCTGCTGAAGTTGAATGCAGCATATTTTCTGAAGATTTATCAAGTATAGTATAATGACACTGAATTTTAAACTCTTTAAACTATAAAATGGATCTTGTTTGGGCTGTACTTGGAAGACTATCAGATCTAAGTACTTGGTGACTCTCTCAGTAGCATCATGCAAGTATGAGGAATATATGCTTTTAACCTAAACCTTATTTTCATATGCTGCTGTAGATTTTTCTCAGGTTGTTTGGTGATGACAACTAGTTTTGTATCCTACCATTAACAGAGGACAGTCAGGAAAAAGTTAAATTCAGTTTTGTTGGACTTGCACACTGAAACCTTTGGTTATGGTAGTACAAGCAAAGAATTTAGTTCAACACACTGGTGAGCTTAACTTCTTTATCTTAAATCTTTACCTTAATGCACATTTCCGGTACTCTTCTCATTTTTCACTTCACCTCAGTGTTTAGAAACACTTCTTTTTGTTTGAGATATATTTTTATATACTTGCTTCTGTGCTTAGCATTGCTTTCTATATAAAGTGTGAAATAATAACTTTTCAGTCTGAGAAAACTGGGACAGGTAAGGAATATGGGACTGCTTTGAGGAGTAATCTGGGGCAGAGGGCAGTGCACTGTAGTCTACAAGACCAGGCTAAGTAGTACCTTTATTGCATTGCTCTGCATGAATAGGGCAGTCTTTCTAGGTAACTCTGAAGACACTTACACTTTTGCAGACACTTTTGAGATTAAAATCTACACTCTTTTGTCTGTGTTTAAGGAGTTATCTGTAGATGATAATCTTGAGGTTAAAAATGCACCTTTGACCAGGGAAGCAAAAGCCCAAGTTTCAGACTGGTACACAAGCATGGCAAGAACCCTATTAAATCAGTATGTAGTAACTGTATTGAAATCTCTCTTCACTAGGAGAAGTTAACCATGTAAAGATTGAGCTGTGTAATGGTGTTACTGTCTTGAAGTTGGTAGGCCACTGAAATTACATTTGTATTTTGATTTCTTATCCTGTAGTCTTTGTTAATGCACTTAAGTATCCAAATCTGTATCAGACAACTAAATACAGAGTGAATATGCAGGACATGCTTACTATGCTATATTAGTGAAATCTTAACAGGATGTGTTGACTGTCATGTTGCAGCTGCTTACCAAGCAGTGTTACTAAACCGACTAGGCAGCAGGGTTAAAATACGGCTATTGCCCCAATCAGTATTATGTGTATAAATAGGAGAATTCCATTAAAGTTTGCAAAATAGTCACCTTTCCCAAAGGACTGAATATACTTCTGAATGACTTTTATACTGTGGCTGGCCATAACAATCAAAACAGTATAACAGAAGAAAGAAATTTATGCATTAAAACTTCAGGATTAATGTTTTTCAATTGCATTGTTTATTATATGGGTTGTTTTTAATGATATTTGTTATATTTAGCCATATCCAGAAGATCCAGCAGTGTACAAACCACTGTCCCAGGAAGAGCTGCAGAGGATAAAAAATGAAAAGAAACAGAAACAAAATGAGAGGAAACAGAAGATATCAGAGAATCGCAAACATTTGGCCAGTGTACGGGTTGTACAGAAGAACCTTGTCTTTGTGGTAGGGCTATCTCAGCGCCTAGCAGATCCAGAGGTGAGCGGTTCACACATGCAGATCTTGCTCTTACCTTCCTGTCGAGGTGCCCACCTTTGTCTGTCTCCCTGCTGGGCACAAAATGAAGCAGCATTGAAAAGGCTCACTGCTGCTGAGGCCCCGTCTTAAGGGAACCTACTTGGCTTCCTCCTCCAGAATAACCAATAAGCGTTTATGTCTTTGCTTTTGGGAGTATGGATACAATATTTTTTTGTTAAGGAAACTTCTTCGTATTTGTTTAAAAATGGCTTGTTTTTAAGCTAAAAATAAGCTTAAGAATTTTTGTAGGTACTCATTTTCCTAGGCTGGACCTGCTGGCACTATACAGCTGTGTCATGCACCACCAGTTCTACAATGGGAGCTTGGCTGCATTGTAAAGAACAAATATAAAGTGTAGCACAAACCTGTAGGGACAAAAGAAAAAAGCCAACACTTGAAGTGTGACTAGGAAGGAGCATAAGGGTGATGTCAGTTGACGGGGGAAAAAAATTAGTAAGAGGAAGACCCAGGAAAGAGTTGGTTTGCTACTCTGTATCATCAAGAAGCAGCTTTTCACTTGAGAAAACTGATTGCGTTGAAAACGTTTTATTTACTTCCGTCATCAGTCAGCTGCAGGTGGCTAATGGCATTAGTGCTAATGAGTAAAAGTACCTTCAATTAGAATATGGAGGGAAATGTACTACAGGATAAGATAGATGTCTTCGAAACTACTGTGCCAAGTTAAATTCATCTGATTGGACTAAATTGTCTGGAGAAATCTCAAAGAGAAGTGGCTGTTTCTGAGGACTCACACAGTATGGGCTGCATTTTGGTAGACTGGGGAAAAAAAAAAAGTAAAAAGCTGCTTTTAGTGGAGGGGAAAAAAAAGGGGATATGAAGGGACGAAAAAAATCAAAGCTAAACTGATCTGGTGTATAACACTTCAGTTTCTACAAGAATATAGCAACAAGGTTTGATGCTATTACCAAAAATAATGTTAAGTTTCTTTGACCAGATAGAGGATTTGTAGTGAAGAGAAATAGTAGTATATACAGGTTTTTTGTTTGTTTGTTTCTAATCTCAGATAATTCCACACTGAATACTTTAAGTAATTAGAAATGGGTTTATTGGTGTAGTAAGGGGGGTGGGGGTTTGTACTAGGCTTGGTGGTAGCACTGTTCTTGCAGACATACCAGAAGATAGTATGTACGTAATTAATATTGCATATAGCACCAAGATGATGTGATAACCACGAAACCTAGCCTGAAAGGCAGAGATGGGCTACCAAAAAAAAAAAAGTTCAATAAATAATCAACTCAAGTTTTCCACTTAAGCAAGCAAAAAACCTGCTGCACAAATAAGGATGATTTGGAAGGGGAGTTTGGCTGCTGTTTGCTGTTTCTGGAAATAGATCTGTGGATCATAATGGAGTACAGGTGGATCCACTCCTGTTGTTGTGCTTTTGTGAAAATTTTGAAGGCTGTGCTGCCATATTTTTATCAGGGGTATAATTTGCAAGACGC